AATGATAGGACCTATATCATAGAGCTGATATAATTAAAGTTCAAAGAGCACTAATCTAGTTATGTTCAAATGTCAGCCTGTTATTTCCTCTGTATTTCACAAGTATCTCAAACCTAATAAATCCTTGATTTCCTTTCATACCTGTTTCTAGTTTTCCTTTCCCCAATAAGTATACCACCTTATGTTCAGTTGCTTTTGGAAAAAACCTGGAGTCTAACTTAGTATTGCCGTCTTCTTTATCACTTACATGTAGTCATTTATCAAGTCCCAGTTGTTCTATCTATAAAATATATCTCAATATATTTCCGTCTCCACTGTTCGCATCTTTTACCTGGACTTCTGCACCAGCCTCATTATGGCTTTCTTTGACCCCGTTATATTCCCCTCCATTCCATTCTCCACCCTGTCACGTAAGAATCAGGTCTAGTAAGCTAGTATATTTACTTTCTCAAGGCAAGACATTGGCCAGCCTTTGCCACCAGATTTTTCAGTTTCTGGGCTGACTAACCCTCTAATTCTGATTGATGCATTCTTTTTAATATTTGTTAATATAATCAGAAGACAGATTTTCTAGGCCCAAGTGCCACTCTCTTTAAATTTGCATAGCTCTTCTCTGACCTGTTATATTGATTTTCATATATTAACTCACCATTTATTAATTTACTTAGATGGGAAGTATACCAATTTCGCTTGATTATTAGCCTAATTGAGGAAAGGGATGAGGAGAATGGGGTTGAGGCCAGGTATGAAGGAAGAGGTTAGAACTTGTGATGGTAAAGATCCCTTCAAAATTCTGGTGTAGTCCTCCTCAATCACTGCAGCCTAATTGTCGGTCAGTAGAGTTGAAATCCAGAATACAGAAAACAGATTCTTGTCCTCCATTCTGTCCAGTAATTCTTCAGTTGCAGTGTGATGAGTTCTACCAGATGCCTTTAGGAGGAGTTGTGCTGTCAGGATCACTGTATACTTAACGTGTGGCTATCAGCTTCCAGGCTGTAGGGATACACAATACCTTTATGGAGGTCAGAATTTGAGTAAGAAACAGAGAAATTCAATAAGTAATTTTTATAGTTTGAAGTATTAAAATAGAGATATACAGGATCCCAATTGAAGAATATAGCAGAGAGATGTAACTATATCAAGGGATCAGGAAAATTTGGTCTATGGATTATTCTGAGAAAGGAATTAATTGAAGTGGTGATATGAAAGCTAAGTAATAATTATTCTGATGAAGTTGTAGATTGGGTGTTTTGGCATGGCAGGTAGCATGTTCAGAGGTAAGAGAAATGATGGATGGCCTAGTCTAGGAGTTGAAAATTCAGTATGAACTAAAATGTAGGTAGAGTTCAAGAGCACCAATGTCAAGAGGTAAAATTGAAGGGTAGGTAGATACTTCTTTGTTAGTAAGTTTAACGATTTTATACTGTATCTAGCATAGTGGTTAGGACCTTGGACACCAGAGTCAGACGGACCTATGTCTGAACTCGTCTCCTCCACCTGACCGTAGTCAAATTACTTAACCTCTTTCGTCTATTTTCTAGTCTGAAAATGGGAATGATAGTACCTACCTCAAAGGGTTATTTGTAATATTCTGAACTTGATTCTTGTTTGTGACTTGCATCCTATTTTTGGACTTTGATACATCAGACTCCCTTGACTTTTTGCCATTTAATATTCAAACCACATAACATAATTCTCTTATTTCTAATTCTATCCTTATTAGAAAACCTTCTGATTATAGCCTGGCTTCCTTTATACCATGCCTCAAAAAGCAAGAACATGCTGACTTGAGGACACAAATGCCCTCTGCCCTTGGTAGTTTGGGTAGTTATAGCCATAAATTAATAAGTTGGCACTCTGATTTTATGTCAATCTTGTGAGCTTTCTTAATGGGAATTGTTCTTAAGAGATGAATCTGTTGGTCATGTCCCGCCCCATTAGATTTATGAGCTTTTAAGGCCAAGGGCTAAACAGAATATGGACAATTCATTAAAATTAAGTTACTCATGAGGCCTCTTTCAAAATAGGCAGCTTGCCTCCCCTAGCGTGCTCTCTACTTCATCTTTACTACTGGTTGTGAGTTTATTTTGCATATTTACATTTTTATAGTTTTCTTAATTTTTCGTTTATAAGATATTTGTCATTATATAAATTATCAGAATGACTTATACATAGAGTTAGTAAAAACTGAGAGGACTGAAGTGTGACTTAAGCACAGAATAATAACTAACCGTCTAGTTATCAGCTGACCAAAAAAAGATGTCCTGTGAAGTATTTGATTTTGTTGTGTTTGTATATTCATGTGTCACTGTAAAGAGAATTTGACACTTGACAGTCATTTACAGAAATGATTTATTTAATTTCACAAACAACTAAATCATCCGTTTTAATTTTTGAGTATGTTTCTTAACTATGAAAAAGAAAACTTATTTTCTTTTAGTGGTTCTACACTGGGATGGAGGGGCAGCCTCTTAATAGGGCACATTATAGGATAGTTTTTGATTGTCACAGTGATTGGGGAGGTGGGGATTACTGATGTTTAATGGGCCTGGAGGGCCAGGGCCGGGGCCGGGAATGTTACATATCCTTTAGTGGCCTGGAAAGCCCTCCAGAGGGAGGAATTTTCCAGCCCCAAAAGTTTGTAAGTGGCCCTGGTGAGAGACACTGCCTGTTGGTTTCTTGAAGTGGCCTGAATAACTATGCAGTTAGCACCATCTAGTGAAAGAAATAGGTAATAAGCAGAATTTACTTTTACCACAGAAGAGAAAATTCAAAATTCTAAACGTTCTTTAAAATAATAGGTTATAGAATCATAGACTTTTGGATCATGATGAAAAATTGGAGATAATCTAATCCACCTTCTCCTTTTACAGATAAGGAAATTAGGCTCCTAAGAGGTGAAGTGATTTGTCCGATAACATACCTAGTTAGTAGCAAGAGATGAGCTAGAATCCAAGTCTCAGAGTTTTCCAGGTTGGTAATATGAGCCTTTGTCATAGCAAACGAACTATCTTTATGTTCTATTTGAGTTAATATCTTAGGTTATTTGTTTAGTGATTCATTTAAGACAGAAAAAAACCGTAAATGAGAACATGTCAATAGGTTTGTTATAAGGTAAACTTTCATAATGCATACATTATATGTTACATCTTATTAGCCTAGTGTATTACCTAGAGAAATGGGACAGGCTTTCGGGTATTTATTTAATTTTTTAGTTGCTATGATTTCAACTCTTAAGTGTTGCATCTTATGATAAAACCTTATCTAGGATAGAGAAAAGTATATACATGAAAATGTATTACAAATTAATTTCTTGTTTTGATTGATGAACTGACATGCTGGCAATAAATGATGCAAAACACTTTAAAATGAAATGAAGTGCAAAATAATGGAAGTCTCCCCATTTCTCTTCTTTGTTAGGGCATATTAAATAGTTTTTATGTCAGGTTTTTTTTTTTCTTTTTTCTTTTCTTTTTAGTGAGAGGGAGTAGCAAATATTGATAATGGTTTAGTTGAAACTATTTCAAGACTATGTCATGTTCAGTTGGAAAAGAGCAATTTTTAATTATTGACTGGAAAAATTTTTTTACACAAGAAATGAGTTACAAAGTAAAGTGAGCTTTAACAAGTGATGCCATCAGCATACTGGGAAAAATCCCTATCAAAATCCTAATGATGTTTTTTTGCAGATATAGAAAAACCTATCCTAAAATTCATACGGAATGTTTAGGGGCCTGACTAGCCAAAACAGTCTTGAAAAAGAAGAATGAAACTGGAGTACTCACACTTCCAATTTCAAAACTTACTACAAAGCTACAGTCATCAAAACGTAGTATTGCCATAGAAGACATTTAGATCAATGGAGTAGAATAGGGAACCCAGAAATAAACCCTCATGTATGGTCAAATTGTTTTTTACAAGGGTGGAAAATAGGGAAAGGACAGTCTTTTCAACAGATGGTACTGGGAAAACTGGTTATCCACATGCAAAAGAATGATGTTGGAGGGCTGGCTAAGTGGTGCGTTGGTTAGGCGTTGGCTTGGGATGCCAGCTCTGAGCAGCAGGGTCCCGGCTTGGATCCCACATGAGGTCCAGTGACGCTGTGCCCTCTACAGCTTAGTATAATTTTTTTCTTAATAGTTTTAATCAAAAGTAAACTAGTTGAGAAATAAAATATAATCACTTTTTTTCCAGTCACTTCTTATAGATAAAATAAGAAATATGAATAAACTGAACAGGCTTATAATAATATTTACTAAATCACCCTATGTAGGATTGAGAAATAATTTTTATTGTAAAAATAATATGCTTTAATATAGTTCAGTAGCAACAGTCCTGCTCTTTCTTGATGATCAAACACCCTAGTTATATTCTTATTATATTAACATTTTTAAAAAAAAGCCTTCTAGGAATGTTCTGTGCATATAAAAGTATATGTGCATGATGGAATTATACACACATATACTCAAGATCTATATATCCTGTTTTTTTAAAGACATACTTTTATAAGGTATTTTGAATGACTAAATACATTTTTCAGCACATACATTGAGGAAAAGTAGGCCAATTGATCAACATTAAAAATATAACTTCTTCATATTTATTTGAAGTTTTTTAATGTAGTGGTATAGATTAAGAATAAAATTTCTTTATTAACAGATTTTAAAATCTTATTTTTATGAAAACAGAAAATCTTAATTTGGAAGGTTTTTGCCCTTAATACATGTTTTTAATATTCATCATAGCAAAAATAGTGGGCTATCTTTGGGAGTGTTGTAAATATTGTATAGGGGTAGGGGCAAGGGAGGAGAGTGGTCATTCTCTTTTTAAATTCTATAATACCATATTGTTTGAGTTTTTTTTTAAAGCAATGAGCATATCTACTTTCATTAAAATGATGTTAGAAAGTACCTTTAAAGCATGTAATGACATAAAGGTAAATTTTAAAAAAATTCCTCATAAATAAGCTCATTTTGTGCTTTTATTAATTGTGGTTTTAGGCTTGTGTGGACGTCAGAGCCAGTTCTGTGTTTTGGCAGCAGATGGAATTTGCAGATGTCCTCACTGATCATCCCAAGTTGCCAGAATGGTTATCCACACATCCTTCTCATGGAAACCGAGCTGAGCACTTGGATAGACTCATACCTCAGGTGAGCTAACACAGTATAAGGCAAGACGTTATTTTTACTGTATCATTTATTTTTAATGCTGTTACTTCTTGTGCTTAGAAAAAGAGAGTTCTAGACTTGTCAGCTATTTTGATTACAGTAATTATGGATTATCAGTTTTCATAGGATTTGACTGGTAAGTAAAATCCTGCCTGTCTATGAGTCTTGGGGAACAAATTGCTGTGAGTTGACTTTTCTTGATGGTGAAGGTTTAACCTTTTTAGTATCATACCTTTTAACTTTAACTGATGTGGTGAAAGTCTAAAACTCAAGGCATATTTCTTAACGTATTGGCCATAATTTAATCTTTTCTTGATGATTTAAGCTTATTTAAAAAACAAAGAAAACAAATAGTGAGTTGTGCAAAAATTTTGGGTGAAATGGGTATTAATTCCCATAGTGATGCTAGAATTTTCCTTAGAAAATATCCTTTGGTATTAATTTGCTTTCTAGTCATTTATTTCTTTATAAAGATATTGTAAATCATGTATTGTGTGGCACTTATTTTGTAGAATTCATTAATGAGTTAAGCTGAAGCAGCTTTCTCCCAAGTAGTTTTCACTGTCTTTTAAAATTCTTTTGATCTGTTACCATCATTTAAAATGTTTTCTGTGGTATCCACATCAGTACAAACTGAATGTCATATATATCCAAGCCAGGCTACACGCTCTCTTCTGTTTGCATTAAATTTACTGGTTGATTATAAAAGCAAAACATTCTTTAGCAGTTTAGGAATTGATATTGGGCTATTTGCTAAAGGATAACAACAGATCCCAGGGTATTATAAAAGTTTTCAGTATGACTACAAATTTAGCTTCACAAATATTGAGTGCCTATGATAATAAAGAAATAATGGTAGATACAGGGGATACAAAGAGAAATAAGACATGGTTCTTGATATTTCCAGGATGTTAAGATAAGTACAAAATGATTCTTTTTTTTTTTTTCCACAAAAAGGGTTCTTTGATTAATGAAAACTTTTACAGTAATGAAAGACCCAGTTTACTTATAAAAGCAAGGCCCTATAGGAAAACTTGCCTTATACAGCTTGTGATAAAGAGCAGCAGTGAAAATACGTCCTACAAAAATAATTCTACGTATCATTAAATCTGAAAAAAAAAAAAAATGTATAGCTCAGCGGTCTAACCGTGGAGTCATCCCTGCAGATTTGAATTAAGCTTTGAATTGTGTGTCTCTCATTCCCAGCATCACTTGGCGGGGCGTTTTTTTTGTTTGTTTGTTTGATTGTTTTTATTAAATTATTTTTTATTATGAAATACACATTTTTTAGAATTAGTTTCAGCTGTACAACACAGTGCAATAGTTATACTTTTTACCCCTCGAAGTGACAA